AAATGTTGGAATTTTTCCCGAATTCATATCATTTCCATTTCGTTTCTCTTTCGTGGCAGTACGACAACGTCAATTCGTGCCTCCATGTGCTGCGCGGACAATCCGTTGGAGGCTTGGACAACATCACAACGAATGACATTTGTGCCGGCCGTCTGAAGGCAGTCCTTGCCCTTTTTTTTGCTTTGAGCCGCTTCAAGCAGCAGGCCAAGCAGACCAAATCGATTGGCGTCGGTTGTGGCAGCAGCGGAGGTGGCAGCGGCACAACCTCCAACACGGCCCTGTCTGGTGGCTCCGTTCTGGGGATTGGCTTGGGCGGGAGTTTGAGAGCTCCTGGATCAGCGGGAACATTACTCCACGATAAGAATCAACAGGAGCAACAGCAACAGCAGCAGAAACAACAGCAACAGCAGCAAACACCTCAACAGTTGGCGCAGTCTTTGGAAAACGGCAATGAGATGGTGAACCGGTGAGTGTAAAAAATGTTTGAGTATTTATTTAATTTAAACAATTTAAACAAAATTAAATGAAAACTATATTAAAATTCAATTAATTAAATTTTCTGGGAACTACAGCGCCATAGACGCATTTCTTGGGAACTATAATATGCACTGTAGCCACCTGGCGCCCTTTGGCTGCAAAATTATCAACTGTATAGCGCGCCAATCGGCAATAAATGGAAACTGAAATCGCCAAGTCCGCAACATTGCTCTGCAACACCCAGTTTAGTTTCATGGCGGCGAGCTTTCGTCAGCTATCAATAACTTCATATTAACCAACGAATGTTAACTAACCGTCAAACGCCACTGTTAATGATAACAGCTGTTAGGCCAGACATTTTCATGTCCACGAGGAAAAAATCATAGACAATATTGCAAAATATTTCTAAAAATTGGAAAGAAATGTAATAAGGAGTTTTATTATGATTGAAATTGTTTTGTAGAATTTATACGAGCTTTAATCTAAAGGAATTTTTTCAAGAATTTTTAATAACATTATGAAGGGATTTTTGTTAGGAGAATGCCGAGACATCTAAGGAAACTTTTGCCATTTGGAAAGCCCCATAACTCTAGGCTCAAGCAATCCTCTAAAGTATTTAATAATAATATTAAATAAATACGTTGATATAATACGCGTGAAATCTGACAAATATTAAGTTTGTAAGCGTAGTAAAATATTTACTAAAACACATGAAATGCCGAAAATGTTGAAATGAATAACTTTACAAATATTTTTTGAGATTTTTTAGTACTATATATGTATTATTTTGTTGGTATTTTGAATTAATTATATAGAATTATGTTTCCTTATTTTCCAAGTTAATTTATTATAATTTCTGCTGCTCTTAAAAGCGCACCTTTTTGTGACAGCAAGCACATGTTGAGCAAATCTCCCTGATTAACTCCGCATAATTCCATTTGACTCACGAGTAAAATTCCAGTCAAACTCCCGTAAAAATGGCGCCAGCCTCCCCAAGAAAAGAGAGTGGCCCTTCCCATTGTTCTTTTCGTCATTATTTAAAACTCCGAGCGCTTGTCAAATCCATCCAAGGAACTGCCGCTCCTGCTTGCCTCCACCCCCGAGCATATGGCATATCCAATGTCAGGGATTTCCTATGAATTTTTCTTAGACGCGCCATAAGATTTCCGGCTACGATTCGGTCGCGTTTTCCTTTTTCGCTTTTCCCCCCAGGAGGAAATTCCTAGCAAGTTTAATATGATTTATTGGTTTGTTTGCCGGAAATTACAGGCAGTTCTGGCTCTTTTCCTCACACCTCCGGCAACAGATGTCATCATCATCTACAAGAAACGGAATGAAAAATGCACGGGGAAAAGCAAACAAAAATTGGCATACTACAAAGTTAAAGTGAGGAAAAATCTCCGCTTCTTTTGGGGGGGAAAAAGTGCTTGAGTTCCTTTTGAAAAATTCAAAAACCTTGAAGACGTCCAAAATTAGAAAACTTTATTTGCCAGAGCAAATGTCTGGGGGGTTTTCTTCTGGTGTGTGTGTGTGTGTTTGCAACCCCTGGGGGAAATCCTTGGAGTTGCAGACAGGAAGCGGAAGCTTTTGTGTGGCTCATGCCTTCTGCCCGCCCTCCCGTCCTCGTTGGGGTTTTCTTACGGGGGGGAAAGCCCCGTCATCGTCGTTTAACTCTGTCGCTACGTGGCGGCAACCTTTCCCCTCTCTCTGCAGTCTTATGGATACATCCTCCTTCTATCCGATTTATATATGTATATATCTGTTTCCATGGCAATGTGTTGATGACTTTCACTGACTATGAAATTTAAATGCGTAACGGAAATGTTTTTCGCATTTGCCAAAGGAAATGCACTGAGAGGAAAATGTGTAGTGAAGCAAGAAGAATTCCTTGGAATACTTTGAATAAAGTATTATTTTATCTGAAAATATTAAAGATTGAGTGTGAAAAACGCAATTGAATAGTGAAATGTTTTGCCAGGTAGTCATAACGTATCTTAATTTTTAGGTACGTGTGCTGCGATCAAAAAATTTCGATGCCTTTCTACACAAATTATGTTCATTATAGTTTCTGGCTTAAGCCCACTGTATTCCAACATTCGATAGAAAATATCAACCTTTACTAGGAATAGAGCCCTTGTAACCATATAATACGTATACAAGGCATTACGCTCAATGTTTTCCTCATGAAATATGAGAATTTAACCTTAAAACACACACAAAATAAACCTCCAATATACATAATACATTTTTCCCCTTTTGGAAAGGTATTCCCTCTTCTCTCAGTGTTTATTCCCCCATTTAAGGACCCCTTTTTTCCCCCAGTGCCTGGGCGCTATGGAAATTTGGTCGAGCAGACGCATAAATAACACAGGATTTTTACAGCCGTCCTTGGGCCTACTTCATGGTAGGGCATCGGTGCACAGGCCATGCAGACCACGGCGCTATCCCAAGTTCATTTAAAGTTCCGCCATAAAACTTTCACTAGGGGAAAGCCGCAGCAGACTACAGGAAGAGGACTATAGCAGGCGACCATTACACGAACCGAGGCGAACCGAACCTCTCCGGAGAGAACGTTGTTTATAATGTCTGCGGTCTGGCGACCTAGACCTAGCCATCCTCGAGGGGGGCTCCGTTGCCATTAGCGAGAGTGTCGCCAAAAGCAACCCCCAAGGGGGAGGCCACAGATTTACCCAATGCAATATTCAAAAGCATTTTAAACGACAAAAGCAGCTGCTACATGGATTTTGGCGGAGGGCTTCGGCAATTTAATGGTGGTAATTCGCAAGTTTTATTCTTTTAAAGCAGAGATTCGTTTCGGCGGCAAGGCAAGGCAAGGCAACAACCTGCTACATGTTGCACTGACGCACATAATTAAAGAAAACGAAAGATTTTTCAGGCAACAGCTGAGGACGATGCCACATGGCATCCCATTTATAACTCCGCAAATTGCTTTACCAGACACATTGCTATTGCTGCAATATGCTGCCTGCTTCTGGTTCTGCTTCTGGTGCTCCCCCGAAAATGTATTTATATCAGTTGTAACCGAAGTGGAAAGCTTACCCTTCCCTTCCATGGGACATTCCCATGCACTCACCCTCTCGGTTGGGGGTTGGACAAGTCCTGCGTCTACGTGCGTATGTTCCTTGGGGTTTCCGTTCTCTCTAATTTGCCTGCATTTATGCGTGACCATGAAGCAGGAGGAACAGCAGGAGCAAATCCCCCATGAACCGTGGCTAAAACTCTTACTGGATTTAACACTGAGAGAAAGAATGCAAAGACGCTTAGATGCCGAAAGAATAGAAAGCTGGAAAGGTCTCTCAGAACAAGTTTATGGAATATGGACACTGTTTTCGCTAGACCTCGCTTTAGGTTGATCTTCTAAGAGAGTACGCGTTTAAGTAGAGTATATGAAGAATCAAAGAATCTTTGGATTGCATGAGATATCCGCATTAGAGAGAGAGTGTAGATAAAGGTAGTACATAGATTAGATCTTAGGGAGCAGTTCTTCCAAGGTAGACGTCATTCCTCCAAGAAGCTGCAGAGGAGGTAGAGATTTCCTTTGTAAAATCCACAGATATCTCGTATAGTTCTATATCTTTTTCCGTTCCAGTTCCTCAGTGTATCTCCAGTCTCCATCAAAATGCAATCCCCCGTTAAATCTATGGCTACTGAACAGCACATACACTCCACCCACTCCACTCCTCCGATTGACAAGTTGTCAAGTCCTTTCTGGCCAATACGCTCATGCATGCATCGTTTGTCCTTTACTCCTGGCTCTCGGCCTTTATTCTGGCTTAACTTTTGTTGTCCTGCGGGCTGCTTGGTTTTTTCCACATGGTCTGTCTTTCGGTCCTTTGTGTCCTGTGCGTATCCTCTCTGTCCTCTGGTGTGTTGTGTTGAATTTATAATTCCATTTGTGGTTTTAATTTGCTAAATGTGAAATTAATTTTATTCAATTTCGTTCGTGTGCGTGCCCTGCAGTCATTCGTTTAAATATAGATTTAAATTGAAAGAGAATGATGGTGATTGAGGATTGAGAGAGGCGCTAAAGGATTTAACAGAGTTGCCAAGGGGCTTGGAAACTGCTGGAGTGATAGTAACATTTTGTATAAGCGGAACTTTCTTCTATTTCTGCTTCAGAGCTAAAGCTTTCAGAATAAGCGATGCACCATAGACCTATAGAATCCTCTGGTAGGCTGTCAACCCTTTTTGCAGGGTTTCTATTCCCTTTCACAAGGTTGCTTTTCATTTCTTACCTTCTGTGATCGAATATTCCATGAATTTTGTGCAACTTAGCCATCCGTTACATTTCCTGTCAGGAAATCTGGATTTACTTTGAGTTTCGTTTGAGCTCAGTTCTAGTTGGGTCGTCTTTGAAACAAGTTCGTTCTCAAAAGACAAACAAATATATATTTTCTAAACACGCAAACGGGGAAAAAGTCTTACACACTTGATTATTTTCAAAGTTTCGTTTTAACACAAGCAAACAACAAAAACACAAAACGGTTAACCAAAGAAAAATTAATCAAAAGCAATAGCCTTATAAAATTCTCTCTAAATTCTCCAATTAAAAGTTCGTCAAGTCAAGATGTCGGACGAAGAGGTGGTCGCTCTGGTGATCGACAATGGTTCGGGGATGTGCAAGGCCGGATTTGCTGGCGACGATGCCCCACGAGCCGTCTTCCCGTCGATTGTCGGTCGTCCCCGCCATCAGGGCGTGATGGTGGGCATGGGACAGAAGGACTCGTATGTCGGGGACGAGGCACAGAGCAAGCGCGGCATCCTCACACTCAAGTATCCCATCGAGCATGGGATCGTGACAAATTGGGACGACATGGAAAAGATCTGGCATCACACGTTCTACAACGAGCTGCGAGTGGCCCCCGAGGAGCACCCCGTGCTCCTGACTGAAGCCCCATTGAATCCCAAGGCGAATCGCGAGAAGATGACCCAAATAATGTTCGAGACATTCAACACACCGGCCATGTATGTAGCCATTCAGGCGGTGCTCTCGCTGTACGCTTCTGGGCGTACCACCGGCATCGTCCTGGACTCGGGAGACGGGGTCTCGCACACTGTCCCGATCTACGAGGGGTATGCCTTGCCCCATGCCGTCCTGCGTTTGGATCTGGCCGGACGCGACCTCACCGAATACCTCATGAAGATCTTGACCGAACGGGGCTACTCTTTTACGACCACCGCTGAGCGCGAAATAGTGCGAGACATCAAGGAGAAGCTCTGCTACGTTGCCCTGGACTTTGAGCAGGAGATGGCTACGGCTGCCTCCAGCTCGTCGCTGGAAACGTCCTACGAACTGCCCGACGGGCAGGTCATAACCATCGGGAACGAGCGCTTCCGCTGTGCGGAGACCCTCTTCCAACCGTCGTTTCTCGGAATGGAGGCCTGCGGCGTCCACGAGACGACCTATAACTCCATCATGAAGTGTGATGTGGACATACGCAAGGATCTCTACGGGAACATAGTGCTTTCTGGCGGCACTACAATGTATCCGGGCATAGCCGATCGCATGCAGAAGGAGATCACGGCTCTAGCTCCCTCGACAATGAAAATCAAGATCATTGCACCGCCAGAGCGGAAGTATTCCGTGTGGATTGGGGGTTCCATTTTGGCTTCACTCTCCACCTTCCAACAGATGTGGATATCGAAGACAGAGTACGATGAGTCTGGGCCATCCATTGTGCACCGCAAATGCTTCTAAAAGACACCAAAGAAGATGCACTTTTATTCACATCAGATCAAAATTGATTTCGGCATAACGTTAGATACCTCGTCTTGTAGGTCACATAAAAATGAAATATATAGACTATTCCAGAAAAAGTCACTTTAGAAATATATTTTCTTGTGCTGAGGATTCATATCCTCTTCGGAGATCCATAGATTGATGTCTCTGGTGGCACGAAAGTTGCCACAATTATACAGATGTTCGTTCTCCAAACGAAATAGGTTCCATAGAAATCGCAGGGTTATATCACAAAGGGCTCCAAAAGTCTTGCAATTGTAGGGGGTAGCATGGTCCTGGGACACTAAAAAAATTTCTAGCATCCAAAAACAACGCAGCAGGACGTCTGCTATGATAATAAAGTAATAAAAGCTCTGAAATGAAAAGGAAATTTTGAATTTGGTGTATTTTTAGAGCTCGCAAATAACCAACAAAACTTTAAGGGCCTCACGACATGCAACTACACCTTCGCTCAAGGCATCAGACTTTTTTACGTATCTTTTGAAAGCATACGGCTGCTATCGGCTCCGATACCCATTACGGAGCTTACGTATAAATTCGTAAAAAATGTATATTGTTAAATATACCTACTGCTTGAGTACAGGGTTTACATGTAGAGCTGCGGCCCTTGCCGCTCGTTTTTATCTCCTTTTTGATTCTCTTTTTCGCGGACTGGAGGCAGGCAATTCATGCCTGTTGCGTGTGCATTGTATGCGTGTGGCCTGTGCCCGTGAGATGAGCTCTGCAAAGACATAAGCTTCGCCTCTCTCCCTCTTACGCACAACCCATATGTGGAGAGTCTCATTGTTAATGTTTTGAAGATTATTTGCGAGCTCTGTAACAATTCTAGTACCTTTCGATAAATGAGTTTCTCGCGTAGAAATTTGTGCTCCGCTGCAAATAAACCAAAATCGTTGCGCAAATCCCAAAACGAATGATAGACGGTCCATAAAAGGGCACTAAGTATATAGCTGTAGGTCCAGGGACTATCGAACATGCTCTGGTACTGTCCTAGAGCGATTGAAGGTTTCTTAAAAGATGTATTTTTGATCGGAAAGATCTTCCCTCACCATTTGTCTCCATTTGTATGAAGGAGAAGACAACCATAACTATGGTTAGACTGTACTTTAGGGCATTCAGGCCATACCAAATGGACTTGGAAGCACTCTCCTGGAATCTTCTCGAACATTGACACAGGCGGAACCAGGCAGGAAGGATGCGCAGCAGGAAAACCACATAGTCGGGCTCAAAATCAAAGGGATTCCCCAGATTGGCATAGTATCGCAAGCAGAAACGACACAGCATATAGTGATCCACCAGGCAAATGGTCAAGGAAGTAATTTGTTCGGACAACCAGAAGGCTGCAAAAGTCACATAGGAGAAAGGAGCCGCCACAATCCTGCCCAAAAGAGAAACGAGCCACATTCTGGCGTTATATTCCAAGATGCGAATGGGATTCAAGACCGCAGCAATGACTATTCCCAGAGGGATCAATGGAAAGTAGAAGGGCTTTTCCACCTCAAAGATTTCACGATGAAGAAAAGCCAAGGCGCAGAGGATCCAGCCATAAGCCAGCAGGCTGGCAATCAGCAGGACATCTGTGGGTCTCAAATGTTTCCTTGGATTCAGCTCAAAGATCAGCACATAATTGATGCCAACATTTTGCCAGATAAAAAGGTTTGTAGCCACCAAAAAGGTATACCAAATTAAGATGAAGGGTCCCCGATAGAGATGGACAAAGAGCTCACGAAATGTGGCATCTAAATCCAGAAAAATGTCTGAAAATGAATCGTAGATCAATGAATGATTTTCCAAAGATCGGTGCTATAGAACCCACATGATATCCCTGTCATGATAGCAGCGACAAAAAACAGACCCAAAAAAAGTCCTGCAAAGAAAACTCTCAAAGGATTTGGGGGTTCACCCAAAGGCGGAACCCTTAGCTTTGTCATGGCCTTGGCTCGATCTCCGTGGGCCAAGTACTCGATATAGAGATTCTCCACTTCTTCGATGAGATTATTGAGGTCCGTTTTGTTGACGAAGGGAGACGTTTCCACCACAGTTTTGTACCACAGTTGGCCTTCAGTGGAGCGGAAGTTCTTGTCGTATTTTTTGCATATTTTCCGAAACGCCGTTTGGTTCAGGGTCCTATAGTTTTGCAGGAGAATCAACATCAAGTAGAACTCACTGTAGGCACTGCGCAGACGTCGTGTGGCTTGCGGCTGCTGTTGTGGATCTCTCAGGTGGAATTGCCTCCCGCCACCGGCCTCGCGGAGGTCCGCAAGAGTGGCCTTGAACGATGTCTGCTTTCGTTGGGCTGCGGCTAGCTTTTCCTCAAAGAAAAGTTGAACTTTCACCATCTCTTGGGCGCAAGCGGTGAAGAACTCGTGTTTGACCTCATCGAAGTATTCATTGAGCAAAACCAAGGGATAATCTTCGAAGTCGGGAGCCTCATCGACACCATTCTGTATCATTTGTTTGAGGAGCTAAGGCGCAGGAGGCTTACGAGGTTAGGCTAAGAGGTTTAATGGAGGATCTGGTCCGCTCTTTTTACCTCATAGTTTACGTATTGCTCGCGCCATTCATTGACCATAAGCCGGTCCAAGGTTTGACCAAATTTCATTTTTCAGCTTACAGATTTCACAGATTTTATTTAACGATAGAGAATTCAAAGAGTGATGGACATAAATCGAATTTAAAAGTACTTTTTGTCAAGTCTGGGGCTTTCCGGATCTGGGGTCGGATGCCGAGACAGTCTGCTCGAAAGACGATGATCCGACTCATCCATCATTCGTTCCAGCAGGAGCTCTTCGGTGGGATTCAAGGCTGTTAGGAAAATGTCTCGAGTGGCTCGGAATTTTCCGCAATTATTTAGATGTTCGTTCTCCAAACGCAGTAGATTCCACACAAAGCGTCGCGTTATCTCGCAAAAGATGATCAAGGACTTGCAATGGTAGACCGTGAGCACATCGAAGTGGACTAAAACTATTTCCAGAATCCAAACGAAACGAAGGAGTGTGTTTTCCAGTATAGCAAAATAATAGAACCACTGCAAAATGCACGGAAATTAAAGGAATATCTTTTAAGAAGTCGGAGCTCCTACCTTTGGAAAGACCAGATTCTCACGCAGAAACAGATTCTCCCGTTTCCAGATTCGAAACAAGCCAAAGTCCTGCAATAGATCCCAGCCCAGAGAGTAGACACTCGTTAAGAGGGCAGTGGAGATGTACAGCCAGGCCCAGGGATTTTGAAACATGTAATCATATTTGGCTAAGGGGAAAAGAAGGTATAAAAATGTGAAATTCAAAAGCAAACCCTCACCATTTGTCTCCATTTGTATGGTGGAAAAGACAACCACCATTATCGCAAGACAGTACTTGGCGGCATTCATCAGATACACCTTGGACTTGGATCCACTGTCCCGGTAGCGTCTCAGACACTGGGCCAGTCGGAACCAGGCTGGCAGACAACGTATGACAGCCACTCCATAGTCGGGCTCAAAGCCGTATAAATTGTCCATCTTGTTGTAGTAACGGATGTAGAAACGGACTAAATAATAATGATCTACAATGCACAGAACCATCGAAGTCAGTTGATCGCCGACCCAAAAGTCCCCAAAGCCCACATAGAAAAACGGAGCAGCCAACACTCTCCCGAAGAGTTTCAGCAACCAAAGGCGCAAGGGAAAGTTCATGATCCGGATGGGATTGAGAAACATCACTGCCATGAGTGCCATGTATATCAACGGCAGGATGTAATACTCCTCGATGCCAAACTCATCGCTGTACAAGTATCCCAGGATAACGATGGTGCAGAGATAGCCAAAGAAACAGACTATTTCTAGGACGCCCAGGAAGCCCACATGATTCCTGGGTTCCACTTCGAAAATGAGGACATGATTGATGCCAACTTTTTGCCATATGCCCACATTGAGAGCCAAGTAAATTCCGTAAACGACGAGCATTATAGGGCCACGTAGAAGACTGACAAACATGAATTCGAATCCGGGTTTTAGGTCCAAGCTGAACCCTAGAAAAAGAAGGCGAGATATATCACGGGAAAGGGTCTTTGAGGTCTGCAAGGACTTACATGATATCACACTCATGACAGCACCTACAATGAACAGCCCTAGAAACAGACCAGCAAAGAAAACCCTCGTTGGCGAAGTCTTTTCACCCAAAGGGGGAACCCTTAGCTTGGCCATGGCCTTGGATCTGTCGCCATTTGCCAGATATCCCGTGTAGAGATCCTCCACGGATGTTACCATTGCCGTAAGCTCCGTGGTCCTGGCAAACTCAGCATAAAGAGCATTGTCATGGAACCAGGAAGCGCCCTCACTGGATCTTATGTACTTGTCGTACTTCTTGCATATCTTACGGAAGGCCGTCTGATTGAGCGTTTGATAGTTCTGCAGCATGATCAAGCTCAAGTAGAATTCAGTGCTGGCCAAACGGAGCTTCCTCTGGGACAGGGGCTTCCGTTGCCCCCCATCGTCCAAGTGCATTTTGCTCTTGGCATGTCCTAGGGGATCCCGATGTCGATCGGACACCAGAAACTGATACTTCAGGGTGGCCAGCTTTCGACGCGCCTCGGATATCTTTTGCTTGAAGAACTCGTTCACGCGATTCAGTTCCTCCAGGCAGGTGGAAAAGAACAGTGTCTCAAAGTCGTTGAAATAGGATTCAATCTCAAAGCTAGAGGCTTCCTTGGGATCGGGTGCATTCTCTGTGGCATCGCGGATCATTGCTTTAAGATCCTGCAGGGATATAGTGTTCATAAGGCGGAAAATGGTGTGCAAATTGATTCTTTCTGGGGCCTTACCGCGTAGTTCATGTACTGCTGACGCCATTCGCTGGTCAAAAGGCTCTCGAATGTTTTTCCGAACTTCATTTTGGCTCTAATGAATAAATATTTTCCTGCGAGATTTCTACTTTGAATTTCTACAAAGTTTTGATAGGAAATGAAACGTCCAGGGTCTTTATAGAACGGATAAGTTATAGCTCTCAGAAAGGATTTCTATGAATGGTTTTATTGAAACTGAAAACCTTTAGACTTTTAAAGATTAGGTAGCTTTGTCTCTGTACAATTTTCTACAGAGACAGACGAATTCCTATACCATTTCCCTTCTTCAGGCCTACTTTTCTTCATAATAGACATAGACAACCCTGCTCAATGATTATCTTTAATCAGGCGCCATGTTTACGCCCATATTTTCTATAAATCAAACAAAAATTGGCTGTAGAAATCCGTCGCCCCTGGAAATATAACCGTAGGATAGATGATGGTTCATCCCTTTCGAGTCCCTGCTCGCTTCAGATATTTCTGTCTAAAGGATGGGAATTTCAAATCGCTCTGCAAAGGATGCTCATCTCTATGGGACGAGGACTCTTTCTACCTTTTTCCCCGAAGGATGAGCCACTCTTTGCCATTGTCCTCGCGGACAGACAGAATCCACGCGCAAATTCTGACATGCGTTTCCCTTTCCCATATTCTGCCACCATTTGACATTTTTCGCCTTTGTTTTCGAGCGTCCGCCGTCCGCAAAAACTCTACACAGACCCTGCCACAGAACTCCTTCTCCTGTGCAGGCTTTAATGTATTCCTGTTACTCGTTTTCCCCCCTGTTTTCCGCTCGGTTTTCAAGTGGACATCATTTTGAAGTCGACTGATTTTCAGGGTATTATTAAAAATTCGCTCGGCAAAGAGGGGTTGTTCGTTCTTTCGGTGGCGCCTCAAATCAACACCCACAATTCGATTCGATGTAGCAGTGTGGCTGCCACAGCCACAGCCATTAGTCATAAGAAAAGAAAATTGGGGAGCAGAAAAATGTCGTCTACAGGCATTCGATGGATGAGTGAGTGGGGGAACCCCCAGGATGCCCTTTCCCCACAATCGTCATCATCAAAGCAGGCATTCATGCTGCCTCCACTGCTGCCCCTCTCTGTCTGCCTCGCAATGTGAAAAATGTGAAACAATTGCAACGATGATTACTTTTTCCAACAGTTTTCCCCTCCCCCATCCAGCAACAGTTTTCCCTCCTCTCGCTGTTGTTGTTGCTGTTGTTTGGCCGTAAAGGAAAATTGAATTGCCAGCAGTGGGCGGGCCATGAAGTTTGTCTTGCCCTCGGGGGACTCTTTTGGCCATCCCCCGTCTGGCCGAGCAGAGAACCCCCCTTGGAACCGCAAATGAGAGACAGATGAAAAACAGGTGAAGCCCATAATTATATGCTAAATACTTCGGGTAATTAACTCCCTTGGGAAAACATTAACTATTTGAAGTACTTGATTAACGTCGGGTGATGCTGATGAAGCCCTCTATAAATTCTGGAAGCTGGCTAATAAACGGAACCAAACCGTAAAACGGAAAGTGGCAACATGTGCAAAATATTCTCCCAAAACCAGATCCATCCATCAGTCACGCAGTCAGCCAGTCAGTCAGTCAGAGTCTCCTTCAAACCAGCAGAGGAAAACGAAAACGTTGCTGCCATGTCAGCAATGTTAGCTTTATTTTTTTAGGGATACCCTGTAGTTTTAGGGAGGATTTTAAGACTAGATGAGGCCATAGGGAAGCAAGGAATGATGCATATGATGATGGACTATAAAAGAAGATATAATTCTAAGTTCTTTTGACTTTCAAAGAGATATTTAAATGTGCCTCGACAAAAACGTTCCAATAATTTCTTAGATGGTGTTTTTAGTTCTTAGTGTTTTTAAAGGTAATATCTTGCAGATATTTTAATATAATCTCAATTAAATCTTCCTTCCTTCGTTAAGGAACATTTTGAAAGGAAAATCTGAATAAATACACTAGCAAATATTTCCTTAAGAGTGTATTTATTTCCCAAGCTCTTCGACGCCCGTACCTACTGGGTATTTTCGTGCTCCAAACACTTGACTGTCCTTTGCCCTAATGTCCTTTTTTATGTGGTTTTTCCACGCTGGACAACAATAACCAGCAGGCAAATAAAAATATTTGCATAGACAAACCGTTGAACAATTGAATAGACGACGGGAAAGTGAACATTTCTCATGGCAGCTGGGGATAGGACACTGGTCCTGTGGGTGGACAGGGTCTAGGCGATCCTAGGGGATATATAAAATGAAAAGTAAACATTGCAATGTCCGCCGTTTTTTGCCATTGAAATGATAAAGTGCCAGAGCGACTCCCGCGCACTCAAAGGAGGAGTAGGAATCGCCACCGAAAGAGGAGCAGGACTGGAGCAGGACAGGGTACTGGACTTCCTCTCTAAACGAAAACTCCCCCGCCTGAAAGAGTAGTACGATACGAACACGAAAGGCAATAAAATGCATGCTTAGTGTTTTTGCAACATCAGGGGGGGCTTAATGGCATTAGTATGGGGCGCCACATCGCTGGGTGGAACATTCAGTCTGGAGCTCCCATCTGGCAGCCCGCATATCCGTATGTTTTGTGTGGCAACTCGAGCGAAAGCCTTTTCATGGTCTTTGGATTTGTCTAAACAAAGATTTATTGGATATAGTTTTACTTTTTACTTTTCGGGCAGGAGTGCAGGCAGGTTGTTTATTCTTTTCGCTTTTAAGTGATTGTAGTTTTAACCACTTTTTTGGGGGGTGAAAGTGGTAGATGGTTTTAGAAAGTGTTTGTGGAGGGTACTAGAAGTTTTTGTTTTGATATTTTGTTAAATAAAAGCTAGTGAAAGGGAAAACATCAGTTGTTTAAATATTCCATACCTAAGAGAACTGATTACTTTGCTATTGACAAAATTCTTAGATATGAAGAACAATCAAATATTAAAAATGGCACACTTTAAAGCCCAAATGATAGAGATATTCCATTAGACAGGCCAATTCCCCATTCCCCTAATCTCTGAAAATAATCTATCACCTTCTTTTACCGCAATTCATCTTTCAACTTTGATTTAATCTCGAATAATACAATTAATTAACATTAATATGCTAAAAAGCCACTCAATCACAGTCTTAGCTCCACAAAAAACCAATCTTTATAGTCGTGACATTAACACGAACACTAATTGCAATCGGAAAAAACAATATCTTACCCATAATTTTCATTTCATTTGTAAAAGTTGTTTGTGGATAGTTCCCCCGGACTCTGCGCTTTTTTCCCGCTTAATCGCGCGAGTGGCAACTTTCATTGCCGCCCACTAGAAAAGAAAATCCACAATCCGAAACACACCCAAAACTTCAATTATGGCCCCCGCCCCTGCCCTGCTCTAATGCCAACACTTTCAATCCGCAACTCGTTTCGGCCATTCAATCATTTTGGCAATTTCGAATGAATTCGGGGCGATACATCGCACATGCTGGTAATTGCAATCATCTTTCGACACGCTGCACAACATTGGGTGCCGGCCCGTGCATTGGCAATAAACTTCAGGTTCAATAATGGAAAAACGAGCGAAAAAGAAAGCCTTTTGGCACGGAGACAACTGTATACCCTTACGTGAGAAATTTCGGTAAATGAATGTGTCTATTGATACAGATTGGAGCTTTATATTTCGTTAACTTACGTTTCGATCCAAGTAGAAACGCAGAATAGCCGAGGTGCGCTCCTGCATGACGCGTGACACATGCATATGCATGGATGAAACCGACTAGAATTGTTGTGAACACAACATACAAATAAGATATGCTATATTGACTGTACTCTTCCTTTCCATATATACATATGTATCTGTTTCCAGTTAGTAGATAATTTGAGCCTTCTTTTGTGCTCAGCAAACATCAAACCATAACATGCATACCCTCGCCAGAGGAGAGAATATAAAAACCAACACGAAACTACGTCTTAAACTACATTGAATAAGTCGGAGCCAGAGTTGGAGTCTCTCGGAGTGTGCCTGATCGGCTTAGTGTCAAAACGAGTTTCCCCCAATTGAAATTAAGCTCAATGATTAAACAATTTTACTCAACTACTTTGATCCCCTGCTCGTATCTTTTCTTTTCTCTACTTTGCGACATTTTATGTGGCACGAAACTATGTATTTGTGATAATTGCTTACTTTGTTAAATTGCCCTGCGATTTGTTTGCGGGGCCAGGCAGCCATAACTTTGGCCCCCGACGTTAATTGGTCGTTTTTTCTGTTGAGTTGGTCCCCCCGAGTAGGGGGGAGCCGGGCGACATGTGCATTGAACTTCAGAGATCCAGAGCGCCCGCCAACTCGGCCCCAAGAGCCAGGCTAGCCAAGTATTTTTAGACCAGACAAATGCAGGAGGCAGCAATAGAAGAGAAAAGAGGTTTGCGGTCTAACTTAATTTGATTTTAAATTTTGAAATTTGAATTTGGATTTTTGGCCGCCAAATTAAGGGCCGTTAGGTCCCTCTTGCTCTCTTTTGTTGGGATTTTTTTCTCTATTTTGTGATGGGAGATCCTCTTTTGTGGAGGTTTTTTCCCTTGCCACAATGTCCTTTTTCAGCTCAACAATGTCCCTAAATTCCATACTCACTTACGTTTGCTGGCAACATTCACTTTGTATGGGCTAGACGCATGTGCCGTGAAATCGAGCAGCATTGTTCCTCAACATGGTGCGGATTCAGCAACATTTTGAATACCCTGTGGAAATGGATGCTCTGGAGTTAAGAAAATGTTTGTCATCTAATGCACCAATAAGGCCAAAACTAGTCAGTTTCTGTTGAAAAGATATTTCAACGATATTTTGAAGGTTGTGGTCTTCTTACAGAAACAAAGTATGGGTATCGGGGTCGAGATATATTCAAAAGACCCTAATCATATGCAACAATATGTCTAAAACATAACAATCTGAGATAATTTCTATATTAATTACGTTTTAAAACAGCTTGGGAAAACAGATTCTTCATTTATAACGAAATAGGGTATACCTGTGCCCAAACTCCGGTTGACATGACATTCCATACTCACTTACGTTGCCACTGTTTTT